CACTTAACTGCACCTGTGAGTGATATTGGGTCATCAGGAAAGTCATGAAGCATTTTTGCTTAGAAAAAACAGAAAAATAATGTCATGACTTTCCTGATGAACTAAAAGATTTTGAGATTTTAAAACAAGGCAAAGAGGGGACCAGCAGTTAACGTAATGGCTATGTCGCTGGACTCCCACGTAGTCGACCGCTGTTCAAGTCCTGGACCCAGTGGCTTAAACTCATGTCGGGTGCATGTGCGTGCGTGCCCAAGATCCCGAGAGAATGGAGGAGAAGGGATTGCAGTGTGGCCATCCCTCTAGGGGGTGATTTCTCACTTTCTGTCTCTCTGTCTCTCTCTCTCTGTCTGGCGAGCGCACGTGCCCTACAGCAAAAACCTCTCTAAAAAAAGAAAAAAGAAAAAAAAACAAGGCAAAGAAAGTACAAATCCTGGATCTGCTTGCAATGGGTTGGAAAGACTACAGAGGTCAAGATCGGTCATGCTTCAGTTGAGTACAACAAAGAATACAGCTTATTAGGGGGCTAAATAAGGGAAGGGGAAGAGGGAATAGCATGTGCAAAGGCAGACAAGCAGAAAGCAGCCGGAAGAGTAGAGAAGCTACAAATCATTCAGTATAGCCAAAGCAGAAAGGTGAGGAAAGCAGGTGATAAGAGGTGGTGCTTGAGGGAGGGCCGGGCCAGTTGTAAGGGATTAAGCTGTTGATGTTATCCTGAGGGCAGGAGATGGGTTTCGGCCATAGATAATTTCTTCCCCCTGGGGAAAGCCTGTTGTCCTGATTCCCTAAGGGGGTCCTCACCCTCCAAAGAACCAGGTCAGTAGGAGCCACTGAAGGGTTTTGTGGAGACTCTTGCAGTTGAATGTTCTTATTCAGAAGATGGTTGTGATAGTCCTGTGGAGTCCACTGCAGTGGTCCAGGCAAGAGAAAAGAGTTTCCATGTGAAAATATGGGTCTAGGGAGCATTGGAGATTCGGCAGCAAATATTTGTGTGCCTGCCAGGTGTGTGACACTGTTTGTTCCCTGCCCTGGACGTCAGAAGCTCTGCCAGCTGAAGAGGCAGGGAAGGGGAGGATGTCTGGCTCTTCCCAGGCTGGTCCAGCCCAGAGGCAGAGTCACCTACATGGTCACAGTTCGCACACACACAGGTACATCTCTCCCCCAGAGTACTAGACAGCCTAGCAAAAGAACGGAGGAGGTGTATCTGTATGTGTTGGCAAGATTTCTCAGGTGACAGTCAAGATGTAGCAGTACGCTGTGTAAGTGTGGTACTATTTATTTTGAGTAACTATTTCAGAATTTTCTGCCATGATAAATAGTAGACTTAATAACAGTTACTTATGCAGAGTAGAGATAGCTAAGAGACTCTTCAGTCTATACTCTTCCATTTACGCTAGAATGGTTTACATTGACCATGTACCTTATAGTAGAATTTCTTTTAACTAATTCCGATTCCTCCCAGCACCTCCCTGGAGAATGCCATAGCTGTGGCTAGCATCATCTTGTGAGTCCTTCCTGGTCTCTCCATCTCTTCCTCCCAGATCTGGGCTGAGTCAGTGGTTCCCACCTGGGTGCCTCCTGGGTCCATTTGGTTCATCTCACCATTACAGTGTTGAACACAGTGACTCACAAATGTGGTGGTCCATTTTTCTCTAGACTGAGAACTCCTTGAAGCAAGGATCATGTTGACTAACACAGTGTCTGGTCTAACAAAGTTTAGTTCCTACAACTTAGAAAGTACAGTTACACATTTTTATACATTTTACTAGGGGTCCTAAACAAATTATCAGACCCTATAGTAAGACACCAGGATTCACTGTCACTGGAGGAGGGTATGACCACATTTGGACTGGCATCTGAGTTCTTTTAGTACAGTGAATTCTAAGACCATCAGCAGAGTGCGGACTTCTCTTCAACCCTGAGACCAAAACTTGCAGGGAGGAAGGATTGTTCTTTGCTCTGGAGCTCTGCAGAGAGCCATCAGCGTTTGACAAAAGGGACATAGAGTTTGGAGCCAGATAGACCGGGAAGCCCCACTGCTGTTTAACTGTGTGAACTTAGTCAAGGCATTATATCTCTTGGGACTCTAGCTTGCTCCTTTCCATAGTTAAAAATAATATATGCTGCTCAGAAGTGTGGAAGGTAAATAATAAATGAGACAATATGCTTAGCCATATACGTTAGTTTCTTTCTCTTTCTCTCTTTCTTTCTTCCAATAGCTGCCACAGTGCACGTGTACTTGCCAGAGGGAGAAAGCACCCCCCAATGGGATATGGTCATGCCACATCCCTTCTCCATTTCTCCATGCTGTCAAGATTCTGAGAACACATACAGGGGCCCTGGGTGTTTTTCAGGCCACCGAGGCTGGGGTTCAAACTGCATGGTCAGCCATGTGGGTCTGGCTCCCTGAACCACCGTATCACGGGACCAACCTCTTCTTAGTTCCTGTGTAATTTTTACACCTTTCTGCTTTGCTCTGAGAAACTAAAGGTCTGACCTATGGTTAGGATCAGACTTGTTCTAATCCTTTGGGAAAAGGGGACCAGGATTGCAGGGGTTCAGTTGGTCACTGTCTCTCATGAACTGTCCGCTTGCATTCTCTGAGCTGCTAATCTCCCCATCGCTCACTGATCTCCACATCTCTGCCCTTGTAGGCCCTCCTTTGCTCTGAGTGGCGTTCTTGAATAAGATCATTTGGAACGGCCCTTGTGTTTGCTTCCCTGCCTGCTGCTGCCCCATTTGGTCAAGAGACCCTGGAAGTATCAGATTCAGAGCCCAAGATTGTCCATGTTTAAGTTTTCAATTGTAAATAAAGTTTTTTTATGTATGGTTTTTTTATTTTGTTCTGTTTTGCTTTTCGTTATTTTTGTGGGTTTTTTTTTTTTTTTGTATATGTGTCATTTTGAAATGGTTGTAGTGATAGCCCTGCCTCCTCACACCACAGCCTCAGCTAGGAGGACTGGGTGTCCCCCCCGAGGCCCGCATGGTGCCATACCCTCGCTTCATATAGCTGATGCCTCACACTTATAAGCAGTTGTAGATTCAAGCTGACTGGACAAAGGACAAACTCCACAAAGCCCAGGCCCTTAAAGTACTATTGCAAGAATGTTCCCATTGGGTTCAGTCTGGTTAGTTCTAGGGCCTGTGGGGAAAGAGCCACTAACTTGGAGTGTTTGGGGAGACCATTTGGTAGAATATATCTTGGCCATGATGAAGTGTGAATTTAATCAAAAATCTTGGTTTGAACACTGGGTCATTTATTTTTTAAAGAAATTTTTAAAGTTTATTCCTCCACAAGAGAAAGGAATAGGTATCCCTAAAAGGTTCTTAATGCCATGATCCACCCCTAGTTCCAGCTGGTCTGAATTCACAGGCCCGGGTGTGCCTAGTTTACATAGAGAGGTACCAGGACACAAACACAAGGCCTTCCCCACGTGGGTACAACTGCATTAAGGCTGCACCATCTGGTCCTGGGGCTATTTTTTTAAAGTCTTAAAAAAAAGATTTTCTTTGCTATAGGAGTGCATGCTATAGGATGCATGCACTCGCTAGAGAGACAGACCGAAAGCAAGAAATCACCCCCAGGGGGGTTGGCCAAACCACAATCCCTTCTTTTCCATTCTCTTTTGGGGATTTTGGGCATGCACATACACATGTTCGGCATGAATTTTAAGCCACCAGGTCTGGAACTTGAACCACAATCAACTACGTGGAGGTCCACTGATGTAATCATTATGCTATCTCCTGGTCCCAACAGTTGCAGTCTTGAGAAGTTCACTTTTCTCTTTCAGAGCTTCAGTTTCTTCATCTGTATGATGAGGATAATAGTATTTACCTCGTCACATTGTTGGAAGCGTCAAATAAGAGAATCTGACTGGGACAGCAACTTTTAAACAGTAACATGCATTGGAAAATGTTAGTTTCCAAAGCCAATCGTCCAACATAGTCCCCCTAAGTGTAATGTTGAAGAAGGAAATAAAAAAAGTCGCTGGTGTTTCTTTCATGAGGCATCTTCCGTGTTTTGCCATTCCTACTTTCTGGATCCTGTTTTGAGGACAAGAATGTCTCGTAACTATTGACAGCAGGACACCAGCAATGGGGTTACAGAGCTGTGACAGAACAGAACCTGGTGCAAAATGCTATTTCACTTATCAGGGAGAGGTTATCAATTATTTTGCACCCGTATGGTTTTTTGTTGTTTTTGCTAAAGATGTGTGCACTCACTAGAAAGAGTCAGGGAAAGTGAGAAATGACCCCCAAGGTGGGGGTGGCCATGCCACAATTCCTTTTCCATTCTCTTCTTGGGACTCTAGCTATGCACGCACACACACCAGTTGTTTTTCAAGCTGCCATTTGGAATTCAAACTGCTCAGTAGGCCATGTGGAATCCAGCTGCCTTAACCTCGACACCACCTGCTGGTCCAACACTGATACCTTAATTACATTTTTTAACGAACTTTTCAAGTCTTCTTGTTCAAAGGCCCTTGTACAAATACCGATCTTTACAACTGTCCATAGCCAAGTAAACAGTCTTCAGGGGCCACAGCAGAGAAAGAAATGTGATCTAGTAGAGCTGGGGTCTTTCATTTACTATCGACAGGGTAGAATTCTAAAGAGAAGGGGAAGAGGGTGAACAGCTGTGACCCTGAGCAGCCATGCCATTCAGCTGCGCTCAGATCTGCCATTTACATTTTTGCAGGTCTCTGTCCAAGGCAGTAGAACTGCAACCATGAGTGGGATATGGCCAGTGCTTGTGACAGGAGACAGGCAACACAGTTTCAGTTCAAGGTGATCAGCATGAAAATGTGTGCCCTTAAGAAGGCGAGAGATAGGGTCTTTTTTTTCAGCACCAATAAGGTGAGCATCTAGTGTCTAGCAGATGCTCAGTAAGTATCTGTTGAGTGGAAGAAGATAGTGTGAGAGCTGAGTGGAGAAACTAAAGGTAAGAAGATGGGGCCAACAGAAGATTTCTTGGAAGATGTGACATTTGAGGTAAGTATTGACAGATTGATGGGTTGAAATGATCAGATCATCAAGGTGGGGAGGGCTTTCTAGAAGATGAGAACTTTGTTCTTAGACTAGAGTGTGAGAGATGCGGGATAGGTGAAAGTTATCCTGTAAAGGTGATTCTTGGGATAAATACCTCTTGCCCCTCACATCACTTAAAATAAGGCATTGGAGTTGTCCGTCCTGCGGTTTCCGTGGACAGCTGGCTGGCGTGAGCTGGGATGGTGGGGTTGGAGGTAGGGGCTAGAGGTAACAACTCGGGTGTGGCGCTCCACTTTGGAACAGGAGCTGAATTCCACCGAGAACTGTTAGCCCTCAGTGCTTCAGTTCCATCTCTGCAGTGGTAGAAGGTGGCCAGTCACAAGAAAATTAGTGGTTTCTTCATGCTTTATTGAGCATGAAGATGAGCTGAATGAAGTAAGTGGATGAGTAAGTAATGATACTTTTAAAGATGACAGAATTTGTCTTTCTGCTTGAGAAGTCATCCCTTCAAAGCAGTTACATAGGAAGGTTGCTCATTTATTCGTAGGGATCCTGCTGCCATTTTCTAAGTGTCTTGTAACACAGCTTAGGGGAAAGCTCTCAAACCTATAAGGCATTTTTGTTTGTTTTTACTTTTTGCTTTTTAGGTTTTTGCAATTAGGGCATGTACACTTACCAGATAGAGACAGAGGGAAAGTGAGAAGTCACCCCTGGGGGATGGCGACACTGCAGTCCCTTCTCCATTCTTGGGATTTTGCGCACACACATACAGCTGGCGCGATTTTTAAGCCACTGGGTCTGAGACTCGAACCATGGTCTGCCATGAGGGAGTCCAAGGCCTTAACCACCACACCACCTACTGTCCCCAAGGCATGCTTATAATTGTCCCAATGCTGGCAGCACTGCCTTTTGAGGAAAGATTTTCGTTTTTAAAATTCAGAAGTCATCTGGAGCTGGAACAGGAAGAGCAACTGTGGAATCCACCTACCCCTCTCCATACACATTACTGCCAAAACTTTTTTCACCTGGATTATTGGCATAGCTACCCAAATGACCCTGCTGCCGGCACAGTAGTGACCACCCCCCATCCACAACCCTCAATGGTGCCTAACACTGTGGATAGAACCGTATACATATTATGTCTTGTCTTCTTCATACAGCCTATGATAAGGCTTAATTTATGTTAGGCACAGAATGAGATTAACAAAGAAGCACTTTACTGCTTCTCTTTGGCATATCCAAATGGCCAGCATCACTACTCTTGAATGTTGGGGCCATTATCAAGTAAAACTAGGGTTACTTGAACAAAGCACTGCAATACCTGAAAGTTGGTCTGATAACCAAGAAAGCTAAGTGACTAGCTGGACTACACAGTGTGGATGTGCTAGACAAAGGGGTGATTCTTGTCCCAGCCAAGACAGAGCAAGAGGGTGCAGGATCTCATGCTTCTTAGAATGGAGCACAGTTTAAAACTGATGAGTTGCTTATTTCTGAAAATTTCCATTTAATATTTTGGGACAAATAACTGAAATTGCAGAAAGCAAAACTGGTTAGGAGACGACCACTGTGCCTTCTCCAACCCATTTTTTACACCATGCAATTTATTTAACAAATGTATAAAAGTGTTATGTGTCAGCCATAGGCTGATTTAGAGCAATACAGTGTGTTCGAATGAGAGGGAATGACCCTAGTACCATCTGAGCCTAAACTAAAGGATGAAGACTTAAGCAGGAAAAGGGAAAGGCTGTTACAGGTAGAGAGAACAGTAATGAGGCACCAAAGGAAGAAAGGAAGCAGTGACTGATAAAGCACCCTGGAGGTTGGACAGGAATGTGGAAGAACAGTGGACAGGTAGGTTTAGAGAAGTCAGAGCCCTGTAAACCACATTAAGGAATTCGGACTACTCTAAGGGTAACAGTAGTTCCTAAATTTTTATGACACAATTTTTTTTTCTTTTTTTAAAATTATTTTTATTTAGCTTTTATTTATTTTTAATTTGACCAGTGAGAGGGCAAGAGAGAGAGGGAAAGCAAGAAAGCAAGTCACCAGGCCTAGGACTCAAACCACAGTCAGCCACATGGGAGTCCAGCACCCTTAACCACCATGCCACCTGCCAGCCCCTAAATTTTAAGACAGTGTCATGATGGGATGTTTTGAAAAGAACACTTTGGCTATTGTGTTGAGTGATATTAGAGAAAGAAAGAGGTAGAGAGATTGGTTAGGAGGCCACAGCAGTCCTCTCTGCAGTAATCTGCACAGTCCATGGCAAAACATCACACTGTTGTACTATGGCTCATGAGCTAAGAATGATTTTCTTTTTAAATTTTAAATAGTTGAAAATAGCTGAAGAATATTTTAGGAAATATAAAAATGGCAACAAAATTCATATTGCAGTGTCCATACATAAGCTTTTTGGAACATGGGCATACTATGGCTCCATTCAAGACTGTAAAGTTGAGACAGAACCAAGTGGCCTGCAAAGCTTGAAGTATTTACTGCTTGGCTCTTACCGAAAATATTGGCCTACTCCTGCTCTAAGCAGTAGATGATGATGATGACCTGGAGTGGTGGCAGTAGGAACAAAGAGACTCTTGACTGACAATTAGAGGTTTTTAGAACTTATTCAGGAAGGATTTTAGGGTGAAATTGACAGGCCCAGGCAGTCCTAGTAGGGGTTAAGGACTACTGCGCTAGCCTTCTAAGTGATTTCTTTACTTCCATTTCTTGTTCTCCAACCCATTCACTCAGCAGCCTTTTGTTTCCCTCTCCTTCCTTCCATGGGGCACAAACACTTGAAGAGAGAGAGAGTGAGAAACCACTCTCCAAGGGGTTGCTGCTGCAATCTCTTCTCATCCATTCTCCTCTCAGGATTTTGGGCACTCAAGCATACTCAGTGAGTGCAAATTTTCAAGGTGTGGGTCTAGGACCCAAACCATGGGCCTCCCTGTTGGGATTCAGGGCCTAAACCACCAGTTACTGCCTGTCCTCCCCCAGCCACGTTTTTTTTTTTTTTTTAAGATGCCTTCCCTGCTTACTATAAAATTGCTCTTCTTACTTACGGTAAATTTCAAATTAAGTATACCTACTTGGCCTTGCCTACTTCCATAACCCAGTGTCTCATTCCAGCTTTAATAAATAACTTGCCTGTAGGTCTTTGCCTAAACTTCCCTATGCTTAGAAAGTCAGCCCTCCACCTTCTTTTTGGTCCCACTCCCAAAATGCTTTGTGCTTTTGCAGCTCTGAAGTGCTTGGCGTGTTGACTACTTAAATTTCTGACTCCTTAAATCAAAATCTGACTTGGGGACGGAACTATTCCCTCCCCAATGGATAGTAGATGCTTAATAAAGAATGAAGGTGGGCGGAGTTTAACCAACATAAGGTGGCAGCCTGGATGTTACCGTTTGTGCAACGTGAGTAGTAATCCCCGTTTTCACATGGCTATTGAAGGGGTCAAATGCAAAAAATCAAAACAATAAGTCTAGCTTGTTCAATAAACCTGAGTTGAAATTAAACCTGACTTATGGCCAATACAAATAGACGTGAATACCTGAAATGGAATACATATTCCTTATAGTAAAATATATCGGGAAGCAAATCTCCACGTAGTACACCCCCGCCTTAAATATTATGACCAGGACGGCCTAAGAGCGTCTCTCCAAGGTGACTGCTGTGCCAAAGCATACGTTTATTTCCGATCTAGAAATCTTCGGCATTGCCGCAAGTACACGGCCATTAAAGAAAAGACAGCTCTCTCCCCGCGGTAATGGTCTTGGATCACAAGGACCGTATTTGAAGCAGGAGAGGGAGTCTTCTTTCACGAGGGGCTAAGGCGCCGCTAGGTCCCTTTCCAAACCCCAGGTCAGGCCAGCATCCGGCCCAGGCTCCCGGTCGTGCCTTTTCTTCAGCGGGCACACAGCTCCGAACGCGACGCCTGCCCGCCTGCCCAGGCTGCAGCCTCGTGAAAGTCACGTTCTCTCTGCCCGTCCTCTCGGGTACTCTATGGTTCTCGTAGTGACTACTCTGATTCTAGTTCCGGTCTCTATGGCGGCGGCGGAGGCAGGAACGGTTGTAGGTCGGCCGAATTAGCCGCCCAGGGGCCAATGAGAATCGAGGAGTGATAAAGTGTTCGCCAATAAAAACCAGTAGTTGGGGTCAGGTGGTGAGATTGACAGTGTTGCTGGCCAGTGAACAATGCTCAGGGCGGGCCGATCGCAGGGCTTATCCCGCCTG